AAAAAAAAAAAAAAAAAAAAAAAAAAAAAAAAAAAAAAAAAAAAAAAAAAGTTCCAAGTTACTTCAAAAAGTCAAGGCTGGTTGCCAACTAAGATCTACCATACCCACCAACATCAATGAAACCAGCAAACCAATCCAAAGCAACTGTAATCAGAAAGACAATTGTCAACAAAAAAACAACTACAGACAAATTTATCATGTGTTTTTACAAAATAAATTCCTTAAACCGCGACCATTGCAACAATTTTGTCCAGTACGCTATCTTCGTCACAATCTTCACAACAAGCGGATCAACGGTCACGGTGATCTTAGTAAGACATCAACATTTTTGCTCTACTCATGGTCGGAGCAGAACAATGTCACAATGATTGCCACCTACAACAATGATATTAATAACATCTCCAAGCCTCATTGATTTCAAGTTACATAAAGATTGTATGAATGGAGACAAAAGTTGGTGATAAATTAACAACAGCATCTAGTTCGCTCGGATGAGCCGCTCGGACGAGCGTGGGATAGGAACAAAGGTTCTCAATAATTTCACGTTGTGAACTAATCATATATATCCTCTCATTGAGAACTAACTTCATTTGGACCTTTCAATCCTTCCCATTAATTAGTCACTTCCCTATCTTTTCTCATCTGTCTAATCTTCAAGTCATATGGTCATCTGAGACAGATCGTTTACTTTATCTTAAAAACCAACCTTCTAAAATCTCTCCAATAATAAATATTTGCAATTCAAAAACGTTCATTGTTCACGGATATGGGCAACAAAAAATTATCCTCCTTTGTAAACACTTCATTTATACTGGTTAGGAAAAAAACATATACACCATGTAACTTCTTATCTTTCAAAACACTACACTTTAGGTAAAAATACTTCCTTATATATATAGTTATTCAAAAACAGCACCTTAGACAAAAGTAAGTTCTTAAAGGCAAAAGTATCCGTTCATTAGGTAATTGTCTTTTAAAAAACATATAAAAAAAAAATCCAGAAACTCTTAAGAACCACAAAATATTGGCACACCAATTCAACACATTTTCCAATTTTGCCACTCGCCAGTATGTGGGCCAATGAGAAAAGTACACAGGTGATTTTTAACACTAAAAAAAGATGAAAAAAAATTGAAAGGTAGAGTGCTTGTAAATTTGTTGTGATCTTTCCATGAACGATATATATATATATATAAAC